CATGATAAATGCCATTTTGGCAGGTCTAGTGTGGTCCAGTTGCATAAAAACAATGAAAAACAACATTTATTGATGTTTCAAAAATCAGACAAAGGTCTCCCAAAGCTCAAACTTAGTTTTTTTTTATTCTTCTATTAGGGTTGAATAATCTAGTCCTGGTTTGAAGAGTCCAGGTGTTGTGGTTTTTGAGCTGGACCAGATCTAATGTGGTCCAGTTGCATAAAAACAATGAAAAACAACATTTATTGATGTTTCAAAAATCAGACAAAGGTCTCCCAAAGCTCAAACTTAGTTTTTTTTTATTCTTCTATTAGTGTAGAATAATCTAGTCCTGGTTTGAAGAGTCCAGGTGTTGTGGTTTTTGAGCTGGACCAGATCTAATGTGGTCCAGTTGCACAAAACCTATTAAAAACAAACTTTGTAGAAGTTTCACAAATCAGACAAAGGTTTCCCAAATCCCAAATGTGTTTTTAAATATTCTTCTATTAGTGTAGAATAATCTAGTCCAGATTTGAAAAGTGTAGGTGTTGTAGTTTTTGAGCTAGAGCAGGTTAAACAAAAATTACTTGTAATATCCCTTTAGTCATTTCCCGAATCGGAAGCTAACTTCAGCTTCGTCATAGACATTAAGTTTTGCTCCGCTCTGGAGTCTACTAAGGCATGGATAGAAAACTTAAGTTCGGCAAAAATAGTCGCATGTATGGAAAAACGAGTGTTGGGGAAGACTTAGACTGACCACCATAACCCCCTTACTTAGGTCTTTTAACAGAGCCGAACATTTAGCTACTAAGTGGTCCTTCTTTCCGCAGTAAAAACAACATTTTGTTTCATACCGTCTCTGTCGTTCTTCAGAAGAAAGCTGTGAGCGTCTCAGCTGCATCCGTTCAACCTCGCTATTGGCTGCGTCTGATTTGGATGATTGTGGCGTCGGAGTGGGAAGAAAACAGGAAGTAAAGGGCCGCGGTGGCTGCTGGGAGTTGGAGTCCTTTTCACGTCTTCTCTCACAGAGTTTGTTGTCGATGCGGATCGCCAGACTGATCAATCCATCCAACGATTCAGGTTCATCCCAAGTAGCCAGCTGATCCTTTAATGAGTCAGAAAGAGCATTAACAAAAATACCTCTCAGGGCTGCCTCATCCCAACCAGCCTCCTCCGCCGTGATCCTGAAATCCACTGAGAAGTCAGAGACTGTTCTTCTTCCCTGATGGAGGGAAAGGAGGCGTTTGGCTGCTGCCTCCTGCTGGAGAGGGTGATCGAAAACCCGGCAGAACTCCTGGAGAAAAGTCTGGTAGGTTGTTGTTTTTGCATTGTGTGAACTTAAAAAAAGTGTTTGCCCATCTTAAAGCTCTTCCTTTTAATGAACTGATGACAGACATTGGGCCTCATGCAAGAACATGTTCGTATTCTTCTCCTAAATTTCTCTTACTTTTGTTCATACTAAGGGTTCGTACGAACACGTCAGATTCAACAAACTCTTCTAACTTCAGGAAAAGTGTGTAAATGAGCTGCGTAAATTACACCTTTTCTATCCAGCTGCTCGTGCACGCGAGAGGAGATTAGCATAATTACCACCCCAAAAACACCATATAAGGCTATGCCTCAGATACAAGGAAGTGTTCATT